TTACTAGAGTTTTTCTGAGCATTCCTGATTATATCTATTTGTTTTTGTTGTTGCTGTTGTTTATTTATTTAATAAAATTATTCCCAATTGTGTATAATTCAATTTTACTGTTGCATGTTCTTAACCTTTTGGAAATTTTCTTATCAAAACATACTTGCATTTATTTTATATAATGCTTCATTGATTTTTTATAACTGTATGTTAATAGTGGGATTAACTGTACACATAATCATATATTCAGGAAACATTATTTTATCAATTTCATTCCCCAATATTTTCTCTTTCCTCTCTTACACCCTTTTCTAAACCTGTTTCTCCACTGGCCTTATTTATGTTTTTCTTTACTTGCTACATTGAAATTATTAATAAAATTGAGATTCAGTGTGATATATTGGTATTTGCACATAGCATGATTTGTTTGATGTTCTGCTACAGTACCTGCCCATCTCCTGTTTTTTATTTTTCTCCTGGATCTTCTTTCTCTATTCAACATTTTCCCTTCAAGGATTCAGTTTTTTTTTCATAAGAGTAAGTTATCAAGATAAAAAATTAATAAAGATGGGACCTCACTCATGATTGTTTTAATTCTAAGGGTTTAAAATTTGTTCTAATTTGTTTTTATATTGGAAGAACACATTTATTTCACATCATACATATATAGCACAATTTTCCATATCTCTGGTTGTACACAATGAAGAGGGACACCATCTGTGTCTAGATACATGTACTTAGAGTAATGATATCCATCTCATTTCATGAATGTTTTGAATGAGTAAAGGAATTGTGTTCACGACCAATTTGATGATAAGGTTGCTGATTTTGAACTTCTCATTGGATATAGACAAAGCTTAAGTTGCAATTCTTTTAGTAACTTAATATACACGGTAAAAAAGAAAAATGAGAGGAAATACTCCAAGTTAGAAGGTTAAATTTTCTTTTCATTCCATTTTCACTTTCTTAAGTCATTCTGTGGATATAAAGTTCAGCATGTAGATGGTAAACCAGGTATACAGGACCACACTAATCAAAATAGAAGAGTTTTTGTTTTTTGGTTGTTTGTTTGTTTGGTTTGGGGTTTTGTTACTTATTTATTTATTTATTTGTTTGTTTGTTTTTTCCTTTCTAAGATTGAACCCAGAAGGTCTTAATTACTGAGCCCAATCCCTAGTTCCCTATTTTTTTAGAGAGAAGGTCTTGTTATGTTTTTTAGGACTTTACTGATTTGCTGATGCTCATTTTGAAATTGTGATTCTCTTGCCTCAGCCTCCAAAGTTGCTGAGATTACAGGTATATGCCACCACTCCCAGTTTTTAAGGTTTTGCTGATTGACAATAATGTATGCATGATAGCACTCACTGTTTATAAAAGAGTTATCAATGTCAGTGAAACTCCCAGGAGAGAACAAATAGTGTCTTAGAATAAGATTAAAATAACTTCCTGCTCTTCAATTTCTCAAGGCTTGTTTTGTGGCCTGACATAAACTACCCTGCCAATGAATCTATGTTCAATTGAGAAGAATGTTCCTTAGCTCCAGTGCTAATGTGGGTGATAGTATGAGAAGAGCCTTATATTAGTTAGGACACTGTTTCTCACACTGCTGTGCAGTTTTTCAGTTGTCTGCTTGCATCTGCCTCTCCTAAAATCAATATTTCTGATCTACATGCTGTGGATCAGGTAGAGTTTTATACTGAATCAGAGACCCACTGAAAAGACATTATCTATTAGCATTGAGATGCATAGGCTTAGCAATATTACTTTGTTATCAGACCAGATAGTTTTTGGCATTCTGGATGAACAAAATTGCAACTCTGTGATGTGAACTAACATGACAAAATTCTTGCTCTAACACCTTTTTCAATGCAAGTGATGAATGGTGATTCTCCATGTGTACATTTTTATTCTATCACTAACTCAATATAGGATCTCTCACTGGAATAATTTTTATCAGCCTTCAGGAGGAAACATGCAGGGGAGAAAGAGGGCAATAGGTTCTTCAACATATTGTGCTTGCTATTACTCAGATATAGCACAGGCCTCCTCTGATTCTACTTTTTTTGTGCAAAAAGCACTTGAGGCAAGGCAGCCATCAAGGAGGCAGAAAACTATGTCTGGCATTTAAAAGGACCTGGGAATTTGGAAACCATGACATTATATGTGAACACATCTGTTGCAGAATCCACTCAATTCCCAAACACCTTTTAAGTTCCTCACCAAAGCAATGTTCTTAAACATTGATAATAAGACAACTTTGATATCCCAAGTTGAGTATTAGAATGAATGGCTTCTCTATAGTATTTTTGTTGTTGTTTTGTTTTGTTTTTAAGACAAGATTTCCCTCAGCTGTTGAAGCTTGCCTACAATTTGTTATCAATTGCCTCACTATCCAAAGTATCTGGGATTAGAGACATGTACCATCTCAGATGGCAAAAGAAAGTCTTCCCTGACCAGAAATCAAACTTGGGCCATGGCAGTGAGAGAGCTAAAGCCTAACCACTAGATCACCCAGAGAAGCTCTCTACAAATGGACCTGCTGTTGAGTTCACACAAGGGCCCTCTTGTGGTTCTCAGGGGCAGTAGTCAAGTTTTCCTGAATAGCTGTCTTGCCCAATGTTTACCTTATGTACATGGGCAGGGAGTGAAGGGGAGGGGTTTGGAGGAGCAACACTCACTTGACTTTTTTTCTCCAGCTAGTTGTTGTACAGAGCAAGCTCCAGTTCTGTCACACTCGGCCTATCTCATGGTAAGGGCCCTCATTTTTGTGTGATTGTTCAAATATTTGATTATTCTGTCTCAAATCTGCAAGGGGCAATCTGGGCTCTGGTGTATGTCCCTTGGATTCCCTTCAGTAGGTTTTAAAGTAAGAGAAAGCATACGGTGGCACTCAGATGGCTTGGATTTTTTAAAATGTTTTGTCTCTTAGCTGCAATTACACAAATCCACTTTTTGTCCCTGAAGGAATCTAAGGGTAAATGTCTCAGGTCAAGATCTTACCATCTTTGCCATTCTCCTTAGATGTCCTCGTGAATGTCCATGGAAGATGAGGTGTTTGTAAGAGATTGGACATAACCACTTAGAATCTCAGCAGGCATGAAAATAAGAAGGAAATATGAAAGGTACTCATTTCTGACTTAACTCACTGAATTTCAGAAACCTGACTTAGAGGCTGAACAGGCCTCCAAATTTTTATGTACAAAATGATTTTTGAATATTTCCTCATAAATGTGCCACAAGCCTAGACACACCTAGAAATCCATGCCTTCCCCACTTCTTCCTGTCCTGAGCTTCTCTGATGTGTCAGCCTCTGTAATCAGCATAGGCAGATAATTGTCTTATGAGGATTCTTGTCATCAAATGGGCTCCAGAAATTGTAGTGCAGTTGCAGGGGTCCTTTCAGAGTTCCTAGCAATGTAAGAGACACCCTCAAAACTCTGAGCACACAGGGGCAAGAACCTTGCCCTCCAATGGTCTTCTGATTCCAAGTAACTCCCTGGGAGTCATCTAAGTCAGCCCTCTTACATTTAATCTCAGTACTACCACAAGCCCTGAATTAGCATAATCGTTCTCCAAAGTGAGAAGGAGAAGAATGCAGCTAGACATTTCTACCGCCCCTATGAGAAGATGTTTAGCTCAGTGAAGAGTGATCAGATAACAAAGGAAAAGGATTTCTGCTTGTTTTTCATCTATTTTAAAAAAATATCTTAGACCAGGGGGTCAGTAATATAACCAATACAAACAAAGCTGGATTATATTGATCTCTATACTGATGGAGTCATAAAATAAAATTTTCATACATATGGAAGTAGAGAAAAGTGTGCATCAACACAGCAATATCCAGGGACCACAAAGGTCAGGATGTATCCTTATTAGAATCAATGAAAATTCAACAAATTGTGAAAGGGTCTAAAAATAAATTTATAGAGTGGAAGACATCATTCAAGAAGAAATATATTCTCTGTGTTAATAAATATATAAAGAATACTGGTCAATATTCTCAGAGGGAATGATAGTGGTTGCCTAGGAGGTTTGGGGAGCAGAATTTGAGGGAGAATTTCCCAAGGTCAAAGGAGGTTTGTGGGCTGGTGGGAGATTCCTTGGCCTGATTGTGCTGATATGCTCAAATGTGTAAAAATATCTCAAAATCTGTCAAAGTTTTCACTTATGCCAAATACTCCATGTTAGAAAACTTATAAAATTAGGTTAAAACATAAGTCACAGGAAATGAGGGCTAAGGGGAAGAAAACACAGTTCTAGAATTCCTGGAAATAGGAAAACAATAGATGATGGAACTGCAGTATTTCCCATCAGATGTCAAGTTTGAGATGACCAGGGTTGTACTGGCTGCCTCATCACCTGAACTTCAAGAAAACAAGACTGAGCATCCTAAATGTTCAGGTCCTGAAGTTATGAAGGAGCAGACATTTCTGTTTATATGGAGACATTTTCCTAGAAACATCCTGCTATGAATGACTCTGAGGACAGAGGACAAGAGGATCCTCACTCAAGGAAGTTCCAGTAGGTTATGCTGGGTCTATAGTAGTGATAGCAGAAAAAGCAAAAGACTAGACTTTAAAAAAGCTGCTGGGTGTTGGCCCTCATGACAGATGGTAAAGAGTTTTTTGTCTTACTTCCCCATGAGCCTGGAGCACTGTGTGAGTATCAAGGCTGTTATCAAAAGACTGACAATAATAGTCAGCCTCATCCTCAGGCTGGAGCCCAGTGATGGTCAGTGAACCAGAGTTCTCAGACTTGCAGCCAGAGAAGCGATCAAGGACTCCTGAGGGTCGATTACTATTATCATAGATGAGGAGTTTAGGGGTTTTTTTATGGTGCTGCTGATACCAGTTCACATAATTGATATCAATATTGTTGCTGCTTCCAGTGCAGGAGATGGTCATCCTCTGTCCTGGAGTCCCAGACAGTGAGGGCTGCTGAGTCAGCACAGACTGGGCCCAGGACCCTGGAAAAGGGAGAGACAATGAGAAGGTGATATTCATCTAGAAATAAGAGTAGAATCAGACCCCATATCAGAGGACTGCCAGACCCTATCCCTCCTCCATATCATGTCACCTGTGCACTGAACAAGGAACGTGAGAGAGAGAGAGAGACAGGTCCATGCTGTGCTGGAGGTCATTTTGGGCTCTGCCTTCTGTTCTCGAAGATGAGCAGATGTTCCCCCGAGTCTCTCCCATACCCTCTTCATACTTTGAGAAGGGGAGGATCTATCCATGCAAACTAGGTTCCCCCAGGTTACCTGATTACACCCTGGGTCCAGGTTCAACTCCTGTACATAAATATGCTAAGTGGTTGTATGGGGGTGGAGTTGGCTCAGGGGTGTGGGTGGTCAGAGCTGTGAGCCCTAACAAGAGAGCATTAGGCAGAACCAGGTGACTCATTTCAGTTCTAGTTCCTTCCAGAACCCTCTTGACTGGTCTGAAGTGCTCCCTGTTGTGCAAGCCCATATACATTATTATGTGACATTCTGATCAGACCCCCTGAAATAGTCCTACATTCCCTACTGCCTCTTCTTGGGGAAGCCAGTGAGCCCCTTCTATGGCCTCCCCATTATCTCAAGATGGCCATCTTGCTTTCCTCAAACTTCTCATGGTAAATTTGTGCATAGTTCACTTGACTGCTCCCTGTATAGGACTAAGATGGTGTCTTTGATATAAATTTTCACAGATCACGATGAAGCACCTGAGCATAAAGTTTCTGGTTTTATTACCTTACAAGGCTTCCACTCTCTATTTTATCCACAACACAAAAACTTTGCTCTGAAGTTTCTTTTGCCCTAGACTTGGTAAAGAATCAGTTGTAAAATCTTACAGACTAGCCATTTGATGCTGTGTAGAAGATACTCTTATGCATGTTTTCAAGCTTTCTCAGATCTCCTATTTGGAACTCTTATTGTCAGCAAGTAAGACTGAGGGTAGAGACTATGAATCAGTCACAGCCATGTAGCACTTCAGCCACTATTGGTTACATAAAATACCACAGGAACTGCAGACCCAGAAAGGACTCAGACTGCAGGAGTCATAAGTATTTTTAGATATGGATGAAAATGCACTCTCCTAGGCATTGGCAAGGATGGAGGTGATCTGGGCATGAATATCAGCCTTCTGTTCATATTTGTTCAATATGATTCACAAGGGTCCCATGGTTACACCTGAAGAAATAAATCATATTCTGAATTTTTAAAGACCTTTTGTTTCCTTTTATTTTATTTTTATTTAATTTACTTTAACCTATTATACATATATGTAGTAATATCTTCCCATTCTTCTGGTTGTATATGATATAAATTTACATTGATTATATATTCATATGCGCACATAGAATAGTAATGTCTGATTCATTCTACTATCTTTCCTATTCCTTTTCTAGCATGATAGTCTCCAGTTTCATTCATTTACTGACAAATACCATAATTTCATTTGTCTTCATGGCTGAGTAATATTCCATTGTGTATGCATATCACATTTTCTACAGACATTTATCTGTTGAAGGGCACCTAAGCTGGTTCCATAATTTAGATCTTATGAGGTTAACTGCCATAAATACTGATGTGGCTGCATCACTATAGTATGCTAATTTTAAGATCTTTGGGTATAAACTGAGAACTGGAATAACTGGGACAAATGGTGGTTCCATTCCAAGTTTCCTAAGAAATCTCCATACTGCTTCCCAGAGAGGTTGCACCAATATCCACACAAACATTTATTGCTTGTATTCTTGATAATTGTCATTCTGACTGGACTGAGATGGAATCTCAGTGTAGTTTTAATTTGCATTCTCTAAGTGCGAGAGATATTGAATATTTTTTTTCATAATTTTGACATTTCCATATTTCAAGATAGGCAATAATTGCCATTCTAGGGTCTAGAAACTTCTATATTTAGGATCTAAACTCCCCTCATTGTAGGTTGGTACTTTATAACTCTAGTACAATATGTATTTAAATATAGACAATATTAAAAATCAAGGAATTATATTTATTTCTGTGATAAGATATATTGTTTACATTGTAGAATCTAATATTTTTATATTTATAAAATGATAGTATATATTGGAAAATATAACTTACATTTTCTGATTAATAGATTATTTTAAGATAAATTCCACATGGAATGTGTGCATTATCAATTCATTCAAATTTCTGTAAGCTCACTGTGTTAAATATTATTCATTCTTTCTTTCTTTATACATTCCTTTCTTGCTCTACCTGTGAGAAATAGGCAATGTAACTTCCCTTGAGCTTCTCTGTTATATTAATGAAATATTATATCTCTACCTTCACCTCTACTTCTAAACTGCTATAAATTTCCTGCAGATTTTAATTTTGCCAAAGACCAAGTTCCACTTGCCCTTCTATTCAAAAGAGCAAGACAAAACGTCTTCTGTACTCTATTGCAGATCAGGAAGTTTATTTGTCTTCTTCTTCATGAGTGTATCCAAGACACCAGCATATACAGAGTTTTCTTTTGATTATCCTTTCTCCAGTTTTAACTCAAAGTATTAACCCAAAGTATTTGAAGTCTTTACACCAAGAAACATGGAACAAATTATATTTTTAAAAAAGTTTTAAAAACAAAATTGCAGATAGAAAATAAACGCATGATTTTGGGACTGCAAATCGTTGCAACCCCTCTGGAAATTAGTGTGGAGGTTTCTCAGAAAACTTGGACTGCAACTATCATTTGACCATACTATCTCACTCCTTGATTTAAAACCCAAGTACTTAGAATTAGCACACTAGAGTGATGCAGCCACATCAATGTTTATAGCAGCTCAATTCACAATAGCTAAACCATGGAACCAAACTAGTTTTCCTTCAACAGATGAATGTATAAATAAAATGTGGTGTACATACACAATGGGACAATACTCTGCAATAAAGATAAATGAAATTATGGCATTTATGGGTAAATGTATGAAATTTGAGAATATCATATGAAATGAAATAAGCCTGTTCCCAAAAGCCAAATTCCAATGCTCTTTCTGATATGTGAGTGCTAACCCATAGCAAGGAAGAGTAAGGAGGGTAAGTATAGAAGTACTTTGTATTAGACAAAGGAGAATGAATGGAAGGGAGAGGGATGAGAATAGGAAAGACAGTAGAAATATGAGGAGAGCATGTCCTGGCTTCTACTGGTACCTGTAGCGACAGACTCAGAGCTAAGCCCACAGCTGAGTGTCACCATCTCACCTGGAGACACAGAAAGTGAGGCCTCCTGGATCACAAAGGTCTGAGAATCTGCCACAAAAAACAATAAGGGAGACATTTATGGTTATTAAGACAAAGGTCCCCCTGAGACACTGCTTTTATGTATCCTCAGTATGCAGTGCCTCTCTCCTGACCTGAACCATAAGAGAGGAGCACTAGTAGAACAATCATCTGGGCCATGATGGGGGTCCTCACAAGCACTTGGTGTCCTCACACTGCTCACTGTGATTTTGGTGTCTTAAAGGCATTTTCATGCCTCTTTAGACCCAGAGGAGATTTTTTTATGCAAATTGAATTTCCTTTCTTTTCCTGTCCCAGTGTTCACCCTGAATTTCCCTGGAGGACATCATGAAAGAGGCAGATGCTGGGAACTCACATAGATCAGTGACTTCAGGGGAACTGAGACACATGAATTTTAGTTGATGCCTTTCCCCAGATCAGGTGCCCCACATTTATTCAACACATGCATAAATTTAATGTCTTGAAATTCAGAGATGGGGAGAAAAACAAGGATGAATTCTCCATATCTATCTGGTTCATCTATTTTATTTTAAACTCAGCCCTTATTGATGAATATTTTTTTCATGTCCATGAAATGAGTGTTTTTTCCCCTTGAGTTAACTGTCAGGCCCTTCTTCCTCCTCCTAGAGCCCATTTTGATACTCCTGGCCAGTTACAGAGACAGGCATCTTCTTCCACTGACAGAATCCTGAGGACTGTCTGAAGCAGCCCCAGTGGTGCCCAGGGTGGAGATTGCAAATACAGACAGCATCACTACAAGGATGGGAATGCCACCTACCTCCACTCTAAGAAGCCATCAGTTACATGGCTTTAGCATTAGTGGAAGTGTACAATTTGAGAGAAAGTAGGTTATTCTTCCCAATATAAAAAAGAAGAAAAAAATAAAACCATGTTCATCATACTTGAAAATAAAATAAAGAATATTTCTTACCATATTAGTGTTAACATCTCTAGCATTTTCAGACATTTTCACATTTGAAGATGATTAGAAAGGCTACATAAGGATATTTGGTGAGTTTAGAAATGAAACTCCTTCAATTTATTGGTGAAATGAGGTTTTATTTTTTTAAATAATTTTTATAACTCCAAAATAAATACAATTTCTAAATTGCTCCAAATTATTTTATTAAATTTTCATTAATATAATCATTTCCTTCCAAATTATTTACTTTTGTTGTTTTAAGGGATTTACTCACATGAAGAACAAAGGTTCATAATAAAATATGTTATGGTCGGTAGTCAAAATTATTCAATAGAGTGTCTATACATAGATTGGTTTATGCATGTTTGTTTCTAATGCAAAAATAAAGAGGAGGATCTTAAATTTGAGGAGGAAATAGAATTGCTAATTTTAATACATTAAAACCATAATAATATCCATTCTATCATTTATGTTAAAATTCACTGAAAGAAATTACCACAAAGTATTAAGATGCAGTATTAAAACAGGAAAAACAATGTATTAAAGTGTTTATCATATTTAAATACATGTGAATTAGGAACTCATAGTGACACCCAACTAATTCTATCCTCTCTAATGAGCCCTGTGCTACATTAGAAATTGTCTCAGACATTCTCAAGGTTACATGAATGAAAAGTTGTTTTGTTTTGTTTTGTTTTCTGGGATTTTGACTTGGCAATTAGGAGCTAACGGGAAAAGAAGAAATAGTAATCCTAAGAACAGAGAAGATCCCGGGATTCCAGTAGTTCATGTCATTGAAGCAAAAGCAGCTCACTGTGAATGGAGCTGATATTGCTTAATCCAGGTAAAGGTTTAATTTGGACTATGCATTGTGACCCTGGAAGACCATAGTGATATATGCTGTACACTGTGGGAGTCCACAATGTACTGATTATTCCCATTAAAGTACCATTTAAGTGGGTCCTGTGATTCCATCTTTCTCCCTTACAGTGACTCAAGTCTCACTGCTGAGAGCTTAGAGGTGATATCTCTGATTTTGACATGTGATATTGTCTCATAACTCTCGTACCTGCCCACCCTTCAAAGTCCATGTTCGGAATCCTTTGGAGACCTCAAGATAAAGAGACCTATTTTCAGTCCAAACCCTTCCTGTTGCTCAAAATAAGTCATGCTCAGTCTACCATGAATTCTACTTTCTAACATACTGCTAAAATGTGCATGCAATTTGAGTCTCTGCCAAATTTCCGTACATAGAGACTTTCTCCCAGGGTGGTAAGGTTTTGTAGTGCCAGAATGTGCTATCTGATGATAGTCCCTTGTAAGTGGTGGTAATAGCTTGTGAGAGAGCCTCAGGTAATTAAACACATGTCTACATATATGGAGGTTATACACAATCCTGTCTTCCCTCTTGCTCCCCATCCCCCATCTCTCTCAACATTCTGGGATAATATGTGATCATTCACATTGACTCACCTTTTCCCATCTTATCATACCTTCCCCAGTGTCACTAACACATGAACCTAGTCATCCCAGGCTTAAACTTCCATATCCATGGACAAATATATACCTTTTTTACTTTATATGTGCCCTTTTTTTACTATGTTGTTTTTATTAAACAAAGCAACTAAACACATACTGAGAAAGTTTTGCATTTTTGTTCTGTTCAAAGATGGAGTCTTCATAATGTGTTAACCACAATGATCTGTGGGATTACAAAGGAGGATATATTAAATTAAAAGAGATTGCTGATTTATTGTTTTTAGTATTGAGAACTACTCTTTTCTGATTTGTTTTCATTTTCTCTCTAGTCTCCTTGCTTGTTATACATTTAAATTTCTTCCTGTTCTGGGACCTTAATTCTATTCTGCCTAGACAACAGGCCTAAACAATCAACCAAAGAGGGATGGAAGATAAAACAGGAAGCAAGGGTGTGGGTTAGATCCCCATGCTTATGTGGCCCCAGGGAGCCCAGGTGCAAGAAAGTCACACTTTGTTGAGGACTCCTTATCACAGAGGTGTGAGCCAGTATTTCCCATTGTGGTCAGCTGCAGAGCCCTGTCCTATCAAGAGTAGTCCCACATCACCTCCTGCTGGCCGCTTATCCTGGTTCTTGAACCCTCTTATAACCTGGCAGAGATTCTGGAAGGTTAACTGACTACAGTAAATGGACCTTTCTCATTTTATTCCCCAGACAGTCAAAGCACCCTGTTTTGTTTGTTTGTTTGTTTGTTTGTTTGTTTTTTGTCCTGAGACATTTTTTTTATTTTGCTTTGTTTCAGTTTCTAATGACCAACAGAACTCCAAGTGCACTGTATATGGTACCACATATTTCAAAATTACCTGGTATTTGACTTTGCTTCAACCATGCACTTTGGGCTATTCTCAGTCTAGAAATTTTTGAGCAAAGTTTAAAGCCTAAAGTTCAAGAGAGCTCGCAAGTAGTAGTAACTCTGCCTGTGTTCCTCTTACAGGTTTACTTATTTTCAGGTTGCTGCTTTTCTGAGAGTCTCATGTTGTATTATCTCTCGTATTCTTTCACACCCAAATCTACAGGCCTTGGCTTCAGATGTATCTTTTCCTTATGAGAATATACTATTATTAGGGAATGAGTATTTTTTGTTTTTACTTGCTTCTATATGCTCTAGTTTTCCCTTGACAAAACCAAGTTTCTTTTGAAAATTGCTGGGGATTCTGAAAAAGATTTTCAAGTCCTTAATTTGTCCATAAAGAAGTAATAAGAAGAGAAAACAGGATGGGGATATTTATGGGAGCTCTGTTCAAAGATGAAATCTTCATAATGTGTTATCCACAATGATCTGTGGGGTTACAAAGGAGGATGTATTAAGAAGCCGACATTTCTTGTTTGAATAACCAGGCAGTATCTATCATTGTTGAGTACTGTGGAAAATAAGGTGTTTAGATAGTTTCTTTCTGCATAAAGTAATTAAACAGATGCTTATCAGATCAGAAACAGTTATTATTTTCTAGTGGCATGCTCTCTTCTTTGATTGAAGATGGGGTCCAGACAATGTATGGACATTCATCAATGGGGAATGTGGATTTTACAAAGTGAGAAGAGCTGGGGATAAAACCATGGTATCTGCATTCAATTAAGGAGTTAAATGTACAATAATCCTGAAATCATTCTATCAGTTAAACATGGCTGATATATATATATAAATGAATAAAAAAGTATATATATATCCATTATATATACTTTTACACATTATATGTGCATTTTTGAAGCATTCACACAGTATGGTTATTAACTAAGTGGTATCTTCAGGTATGGGCCCTAATCGATAAGGTGATTATAGGTTTGGGAGAGACTAGTAACTCTTTGGCCCAAACAGAGGTTACAGGAAGGACTGAAGAGGAGTTCAGTTGTGGCATCTGTAGACATTATATTCCTGGGGAGCAGCACCAAGATGTGCTATGAGGGCAGGTAAGTGCACAGCATCCACTTTAGGCTATCGTGGTTCAGACAGCAAGAGTCTGAAAGAGTATGGGAATGAAGAAATCCTGATTCTCAGCAGAAAATGGTAATGAATTTTCACCCTCCTTGTACCTACTCATTCTCAAGTTCATTATTTTCCTCATTAGTAGAATCTTTCCTAAAGTTTCTCTTGCTCTATGCTCTTTTGTTTCTTCATTGACTGTGTTTGGTTAAAATCCCACATTATTTGAAATGAACACTCATCAATGTTTTGTCAATCCAAAGAACTCAATGTACCTGAGAGAAAAAGGCATATGTGCACATGTCACAAAATTTAAAACAACTTCTCTTACAAAAGTTTCAGGGACAATCTTGCATTTTTCTCATTTATTCAAATATAATAAATATCTGCTCTATTAAATGTTGTTTCCTCCCTTTTTTCCCTGTTATAATTTAACTTCTCTCCCTAGTACTAAATCTAAGTGATAGAATCAAGATAATAGTGGAACTAATAACCCTTAGCCCCCACCAATTTCTTCCTCTTAAAAGTTCTACGGTGATGAACTGGTATCAAGCCTGTACCACATGGGATGTAGAGGGACACTTCTCCAAACCAAGGCACTATGATGATTTATTTGGAAGGTATAAATTTGTTCCTGGCGGAACTCACAGGCCATTGGGAGGAAGAGGCCATACAGTAAACAGAACATCTTGGGTTCACTGTACTATGTACAAGAAGATATGTTTTCAGGCACCTCTGAAATGTGGGAATAGCATGTTCCAGATCATTTCCTAGAAACC